GATGTTAGCGATCACATTTTCCATTAATTCTCTATTTCTTGCAATATGTATCAGAGATTGTATGTCGTTAATCCCTGTCCATTGCCTTATGTTTCGGAGCCAGGACATTGTCTTGCGTCCCATTCCTCTCTTGCCTTCAATTTTACCCTCGATTATAAGTTGGAGGAACTGGTATTTTTCATTTCGCATTATGTGACCTAGATACGCCGTTTTCCTTTTCTTGATGGTTTCGAAAAGTTGGCGTTCTTGGTTTATTCTTTTAAGGACATCTATACTTGTGATTTTCGCTGTCCATGGTATTTTTAGGATACGGCAATAAAGCCACATTTCAAAAGCTTCTAATCTGTTTATATCCCTCGTTTTGAGTGTCCAGCCCTCTACGCCATATAGCAGCACTGACCATACGTAGCACTTAGTAAACCTTAGTCTCAGTTGAAGATCAAACTCTGAACAAGTCAGTACTTTCTTGAATTTTACGAAAGCTTGTCGAGCTTGCTCAATGCGCCATTTTACTTCCCTATCCGATGCCCAGTCTTCAAAAAGCCACGATCCCAGGTATTTAAATTTACTCACTCTTTCAATGGACTTAGTATTCAGTGTTATGGTGGAATTTTCAAGTGCATCTAAGTTTCTGGAGATGATCATAAATTTGGTCTTTTTGATATTAATCTCTAATCCCATTCGCTTACTGTATTCTCCAATTAGTTCAAGTACATTTGTTCAAGTACAGATTGTTCAAGTAAATTTTATAAAATATTTGTCTCTAAATACACCAAAATGATAAAATAACTCTTTATTTGACAATTTAGCTTCCTGATTGAAATCAGTTTTTCAAAGTATAATAATTGTTAAGTTAAAGAAAAAGTATTCTATATTAAGAAAAGTCAAACATTTATAAACAAATGTTCTGACTTCTTCTTAACGTGTCCCATCCATAAGGATATTGGCGATCATCATGGCCCATTTGACTCTATCTGCTGCGGTTCTGCAAAGTTCTATTGACGTTTTCCCACTCCATTGTCTCAGATTCTTCAACCAGGACGTGCGTCTTCTCCCCGGTCCTCTTTTGTCTTCCACCTTCCCTTGTATGACCAGCCGCATTAATTCGTATTTCTCGTTTCTTAGTATGTGACCAAAGTAGCTCATTTTTCTTTTCTTTATAGTGTTGAGTATTTCTTTATCTTTTTTCATTCTTCGTAGTGTTTCCGCATTGGTTATGTGGTGTGTCCAAGATATTTTCCATATTATTCGATAACACCACATTTCAAACTTAATGAGTCTTTTCTCTGTCGCCTCTGTAATTCTCCAGGCTTCAACTTTATACAACAAGACAGAGAACAAGTAGCATCTCAATACTCTAGTTCTAATTTCAATGTTGAGTGTTCCATTACATAATATTGCTTTTATTTTATTAAAAGCACTTCTAGCTATCTCAATACGCCGTTTTATTTCCGTACTTCTATCCCATTCTTCATTTAGTTCGCAACCTAAGTATTGATATCTGTGCATCCTGCCTAAAAGTTTTTCTTTAGCATAAACACTGTCTTCCTCAATCTTGTTCTTGCTTACCACTATGATTCTTGTTTTATTTGTATTCAGTGTCATTTCATACCTTTCACAGTATTGGAGAATGCGATCAACCAAGATCTGTAGCCCTCTGCTGTCCGCAAGGAGTATTGTGTCATACGTCTATTCGTATTATGGCTTTCTCATATCGGTATAGATTGGCAATGATTCTCACGTCTTCGTCATCTAATTCTGTGTTTTGCAGTATTTTTGCTATTCTTTGGTGTTGTACTTTGTCGAAAGATTTTTCGAAGTCGACTAGACATATGAATACGTCGTAATTGACATCTCGAAATCCTTCGATTATTATTTGTACAGTAAATAATGCTTCTCTGGTGCCAAAGCTTTTTCTGAATCCCAATTGGTTTTCAGCTATTCTATCATCTAGCTTTTTATAGATACGTTCGTGTATCACTTGTAAGAACACTTTTAGAATATGGTACATCAAGCTCATTGTCCTGTGCTCTCTTCACACTTCATTGCGTTTGATTTTTTGAGTATTAGAATGAATATTGATATTAACCATTCTTTCGGAATCTGTCCCGTATAATAAATGTCATTAAATAATTCTATTAGTGTGTCCATATGATTGTTTGTTAATATTCTTAAGATTTATGTAGGTATTTCATTTAGTCCCATGGCCTTCTCATTTTTTATACGTTTTAGCGCTTTCTCAATTTTGTCTTTGGTGATTGGTTTGGGGATTGGATTTCTTTCTCTTGGTTTAATGACCCCAATGTTCTCGTCGTCTTCTAACAGCTCTTTTATGTATTCTTCCCATCTGTTTATTTTATCTGTACATTCCGTTATTATCTTGTGATTTTTATACATGATATTTCCGATACCCTTCTTCTTGTATATGACAGCTGTCTCTTTGATATTCCGGTGTATGTTAAAACTGTCATGTTGTTTATCTAACCTTTCTATTTCTTCACACTTTTCTGATAGCCACAGTTCCTTAGCTTCTTGGATTTTCTGTCTGATTATTTTATTAATTGTTTTGTACTTTTTTTTATTCTTGTATGCCCTTCTTTCCGTTATCAGTTCTTTTATCTCTTGTGTAATCCATTGTTTATTTTTAGATGATGTGTCTTCTTGAAGTTTGTGTTTTGTGATATTTCTCAAGATCTCCTCTACTTTTCTCCATTTATCTGTTGCTGTCAATTGCTTTTGCCTTTCTACTTCCTGAACTTCTTTGTGCACTTATTCTTTGATTTGTTGGTATATGTCAGTTTCTTTTAGTTTTCTTAGATTGATTCTCGGTGTTTTGGTAGTTGTTTTTAACTTTTTTAACTTGAGTTTCATATTTGCTAGAATTAGATTGTGGTCACTTGTTATATCTGTTCCTGGGTACGCTTTAGCCGATATTATGTCTTTTGGGAGTCTTTGATTTATTATTTGTCTGTTGTGACTTATATGTCCGAATTATATATAACATTTTCTAGTCAAACAGAATCAACGAGTTGACAGTTGCCGTTTCTTGCATACCAACGATTGCGATTCTAGTCATCTGCTTCTAGACCTATATCTTACATTGAACTGTTTACTTCATATCTGCATGATCTTTTTGGTCTACCCCATATCCTACGGTTGGTGCGGGTCCACTGTAACATTCGTTTGACGTCGTTTTCTATAACAAGTGTTTGTATGTACATTTTTGTAGCTGATTCTTTTAATGCTACATACGCCTCTCGTACAGCGTTTTCCATTCTCCCAACAATATTGATATCATCAGCATAGGGAAGGATTTGCACTAGTTTATTATATATTGAACTAGTAATTGTGTTTTGTGGCATACGTATTACTTTTTGCAGAGCCAGATTGAACAGTATATAGGAAAGAGGATCTCCCTGGCGCAGCCCGTTATTTGTTTTAGGCAGTCTGCTGCCCCGCTGAATTCGTACTCTACAGTCAACTTTTTCAAAAGTTAGGTTTGTTAAATTTACCAACTGATTTCGTATTCCTAGCTCTTTCATTGCTTTGAAGATTCTTTTTTATTCACATAGTCGTAGGTTGCTTCGTAGTCTATAAATATGTGATGAGTATCAATGCCATATTCCAGTGTTTTTTTTTTAAATTTGTTTTAGTGTTGCAATCTGATGAATTATTAATTTATCACCTCTGAAACCAGCCTTGTATTTTCCTACTATCCGTTCTGCATATGGTGCTATACGGTTACATAATACTGTAAAAAATATTTTATACGCTGCATTTAGAAGCGTAATTTTTCTGTGGTTAGATCAATCAAAGATATCTCCTTTTTGTGTATGGTACAAAGTATTTCAATATTCCAATAACTGGGAAGGGTTTGCTGTGTCCATATTTCTTTCATAAGCTGCTGTAGTACCTTTATGGTATCATGGCCGACTTCTTTATATAGTTCAGCTGAGAGGTTATCTATTCCGGGTGATTTGTTTCTGGCTAGTTTTTTAATTGCATCTTTAACTTCAACAATCGTTGGTGGTTCCTCGTCCCTCTCGTCTGTTCTCCTTACCTTATCTCTTTTGTTTTCTAGGTTTTCTTCTTCTTTCTCTATATTTCGTGCTTGGTTAAAGTATTTCACCCATCTATTTAATACATCATTCCTTGTTAATAGGTCGCCATTCTGACTTTTTCATTGCCTTGTGGTTGCCTTGAATTCTTTTCTCTTAATAATATTTTCTATCTATCTTTTTTATGAGTTGAAAACATCTACGCCAACAATTCATTTTGATTGTTTTATATTGTACTCCTCGGAAGGCCAAACTTTTCTTCGAGTATACCGAATGGAACGTACATAATTACGCATGGCAATAGCTGCGCTACTTGATCTGGTCTCATTGTAAATTAATCTTTGTTATTAAAAACACTTTACTCTCCCGAAAAAGCAGCAAATATTACACGAAAAATGAATGTGATTTTAGCAAGAAATATTTTGTAACTAAATATACGATTTATCTAGAGCACCTTAACAAAAACTTTCTTTTTAACAACAAAAAATGGCGAACGGACTTTTAAAAAAACGAATAGATAAAGGCAACTTATTTTGATAAATACGGAGAAATTCTTCATGGGATTTCACGTGTTTGGTTAAGTATGGGGGGCAGTGTAGATATAGCTGGCGAGCGTGGCTAGTTACGTGTTTATAAACAGTTTATACGTCTGTGACTATAGACTATTATTTTCGTCACTTTTCAAGCGGTTAAACGAAAAATTCCTTAAAGCTTTTGAGTAATTTTTTATCAGTGTTGATGATTTATTGAATATCAGGGTAGACGCCAATTTACTTATGACATGGACTCTCTTTTGACTATCTTAATAACATATGAGTAGAAAAAAAATAAATTCTCAAAAAATCTCTATGTATATTATGTTATTATAATTTTTCATAAATACTTATTTCATCATTTATTTTACAGGTAACCACTTAAAAGCATCGTTAAAGCCTTATTGACATGGAGAAAAGATTATGGCTGCTGTTAGTTAACGTACTGTTTGTAACAACAGCCCAAGATAGCTTTTTCAAAAACTCTATATATGAAGATTTGTTCGGCTTTGTTAAGTATCCTGTGCTATCAGGAAATGGGTAAGTTTTCACGTAATTTTGAATGAAATAAAATACACATAAAACATAGTAGTACATACATAAAAATATAATTTAGTTATAAAAATTGACATCTCGAAATCCTTCGATTAGTGTTTGTACAGTAAATAATGCTTCTCTGGTGCCAAAGCTTTTTCTGAATCTCAATTGGTTTTCAGCTATTCTATCATCTAGCTTTTTATAGATACGTTCGTGTATCACTTGTAAGAACACTTTAAGAATATGGTACATCAAGCTAATTGTCCTGTGCTCTCTTCACACTTCATTGCGTTTGATTTTTTGAGTATTGGAATAAATATTGATATTAACCATTCTTTCGGAATCTCTCCCGTATAATAAATCTCAATAAACAATTCTATTAGTGTGTCCATATGATTTTTTGTTAATATTTTTAAGATTTCTGTAGGTATTTCATTTGGTCCCATGGCCTTCTCCTTTTTTATGCGTTTTAGCGCTTTCTCAATTTCGTCTTTGGTGATTGGTGGCCCATTTCTTTCTCTTGGTTCAATCACCTCAATTTTCTCGTATTCTTTCCATCTGTTTATTTTATCTGTATATTCCGTTATTATCTTGTGATTTTTATCCATGATATTTCCGATACCCTTCTTTTTGTATATGACAGCCGTCTCTGATAGTAATTTGTCTCAGTAATTTTGAATGAAATAAAATGTACATACATAAAAATATAATTTAGTTATAAAAAAAAATATTTAATTAACTGCTAGAAAAAAAATTAACAGGCTAAGATTAGGATTCTCAGGTTGCTATTTTATTATTATGATATGAGCAGCATACAAGTAATCATAAACTCCCTAGTCCTATGGGGAAATAAAACAGGCTAATGTCTTTTCACTGATCAAAAAGATTCTTCCAATATGCCGAGTTCTGTTCCATTCTGTAGCCGAGCCTGGTCCTGTCTCATTGTACATTCCACGATGTATAAGCGTCCCATACCCTTGGCCGAGATGATACTAACCAGATGTTTAAGCCTCTCCGCAATGCAATCTGGATGGAACTGCTCCCCAGGACGTCGTCGGACGAACGCACTTTTCTCCACCAAAATCTGGAATGTTGATTCGTCGGAGAAGCATACCTGAAAAAAAGAAAATATTCGCTGTTCATGAACTCCATTCGTTAAAAAAAGTTTTACTTACTCGACTCCAGTCTTTAACGATCATATTTCCAAGTGCTGTCTGGCCCACTGGAGTCTCTTTCTCTTCATTTCTTCGGTGTGCCGTGGTTTTTTTATAGGCCAGCGACCTATGATATTCTCTTCGAGCAGTCTTCGCCGGACTGTTTTTCTGGAAACATTAATTCCTTCGGTATTTATCATCATAGTCGAGGAATAGTGATCCTTTTCCTGCCACATGTTCTAACACGGCCCGGTTACAATGCCTCGTTTGAATCAATTTTAATTTTATTCGATTTATTACAGACTTTAACACCTGCAGTAGTTGCTATTACTTTTTGGGAAAGTATAGAGTGAAGTAAAAAATCGTTTTTATTTATCTAATTTTTCCTGGAGACAAGTCTGAAATTTTTCCCATCTTAAAAAAATAATTTTCAATGAAAAATTTTAATTTTGAACAATGTTTTTTAATAAAATCGTGTCATTAAAGGCAGAAAAAAGACTAAATAACAAATATTACTTACTTTTCAAATATATCTGACACGAAAATCTATCAGAAACATTTTAAAAAAGTTTTAAACAACTTGCAAATATTTTTAAACCCCACTGCAATAACAGGCGATGACCAACTGAAATGCAACAGTAATTACTATTTTATACATAAGTAGTATGTATGAAATGAAGTACTTCTATCATGTAGACTAATCACCCCATCAGAACGTCTTCTCTTATCTAATGTTTGTCCAACAATACCACATGAAATATTAAGCAATCTTCTCCAAAACCTAGGCCTGACATTGATTTCACCAATAACATGTTTGAGAATTGGAGCTACAAATCCTGAATATAGTCACATACTCAGTTTTAGGCGTCAAGTTTACATAGAACCCCTAGATAATATAACCATACTTGATTTTATCATGGTCAATCAAGATAATGCTAGCTACAAAATATTTTTAACCAGCGACCAATCGCTTTGTTTCAAATGCAAACAAAATGGCCATCTTGCCTCACAAGATTCATCAGAAACATTTCCCCTATTCAATTCTGATATACCAAATACTACTCCAACTTCTAATCCACCTCAAAATATCACTTCGCAGGTTCCTACAACAGACAACCACGAAAATAATTCACTAACTTCCCCCATTCCAATAAATTTGATGAAGGTGTCAAATTGACCCTTTCAACAACGGAAATATTAACAACATCAACCAAAAGATATCTACCTCAAACCCCATCTCCAACAGAAGAACGAGCAACCAATCTTTTTCACAAGGGAGGTAATAAAACTAGTTCTACATAAACAGTAGTACAGATATATTATTCGTTTAAAAAAAGTTAAAAAATAACAGAACAGCACACCTACCAACAAATTATAAGCCTGGAGAAAGAAATAACGTTACTAACTGACCCTCAGGATAGAGTAAATGAACTAGCTGATACTTACATTAAAAATTCTCATCTAGCTAAATTTACAGTAACGAATTCCTAACCTACAAACAAGAAGAGGAGGACCTATTACAATATCTGACGATTTCAATCTCATCAGTACACCCCCTAGTTATGGGGAGTTTTAAAAAGCACTTATTAGCATGATCAATGATCAACTTATCATCGAACAAGCTGGATTTAGACCAGGCAGATCTACAAATGACAACATTATCGATCTGGAAAACGCTATTCACGAAGCTTTCAAAATTAACCAAAAATTTATGACACTTTACTTTGACATAATTAAAGCATTTGACACAGTATGGAAACACCGTATATTGAACATTCTAAAAAAGCTGGGATATTCCTAAATCTATCTATCTCTGTGAACCCTAAACTACGCCTCTAACATACATGTAAATAAAAGGATTCCAATAAATAGCATTTTAAACATATCTATAATGAATAACTCGTCAAATTTCAATCTTCCATATTCCCGTAGAATTCATCAGGCAATGAAACTACTTATTTCAACCCTTATATCAATAAAAAATGTATCTTCATGTTCACCTTGGACTGTAAAAATTCCAATACTGAACTCTAGTATATTACAATTCCAAAAAAAAAAATAGCACTAACCCTAATCGTATCAACAACACTTCAGAGATCTAATTAACTCTTATTCCGATTACACAGTATACTACACAGACGCGCCTAAAACTGAAAATGGAGTCGGGGTGGCAATAATTAACAACACGTAGATTCTCAAACATAGAATACCAGATACTGAAACAGTATTCACAGGAGAACTTTATACAATCTACCAAGCGTTACTACATGAAAATGCGAATAAGTGAACAAAATGTTAATCGTGACAGATTCTATGTCATCACTACACCTAATCAAGAACATATACACCCAGCATCCGTTAACTTTACTAATAAAGGAAGAACTAAATAAAATACATACTAAAGATATAAGTATCAAGTTTCTCTGGGTACCATCATAGCAGGTAATGAAACAAATGAAATGCCAAAGAAGTTATAAATGATAACAGTGCAAAAATGTCTCCCCAATCTGTTAGTATCGATCTAAAAAGCTTCTTTATGAAACATGTTTTCGAGATCTGGGAAAATAAATGGAACACACCATCAAAGCTTCAGGAAATAAAAATAAAATTGGACCATTGCAACCACCCGATGTATCTAGACGAAAGCAAATGATCATTCCCAGTTTACGACGTGGACATACCCAGTCTTCCCATGAACATGTATTTAAAAAAGGAGAACGCCCAATTTGTGATTAGTACGGTTCACCCCTTACAGTAAAACATGTGCTAGTGGAAAAGTGCGAAAAGTTCAATATCCATAGAATTAAATACCATTTACCAAACAATCTTAAAGACATTTTAAACTCAAATAACAATATTGATAAACTACTTTTGTTTTTAAAAGATTTTAATTTAATAAGTCCAGCTGTTCTAACAATCGTACTAGTTGTACGGGTGTAGTGTCGCTCCGAAATTAAATTCCAATTTTGGGTGGTTTCGAGTATAATCTGCATACAAAATAGTGCAAAGTGTAATTAAAAAGGACCTTTATGTAAGTAAATAATCAGTTATCTGTTTTTAAACTGTAATAATAAATTAATTAGTTAGTTTTAATTGCCCTACAGATAAAAGTAAAACTTCCGAATGGTCGAAACGAGTTGAACTTTTTGCGCTGGACGGATGATTAAGAACGATAAACGATAATAAATTATTAACAAAACAATAGGTTTGTTATTCAGTTTCGGTAAAACTATCTTCTTCTTCAGGTTCCTTCTCCTATCGGAGGTTGGAAATCATCATTGCTATTTTAATTTTATTGGCCGCGCTTCTGAATAATTCTCTCTCTCTCTTCTGAATAATGAGCTGCAACCGAAGCACTCTCTGAAATTTCTTAGCCAGAATATTTTGCGTCGTCCTGGGTTTCTCTTTCCTTATATTTTCCCTTGCATAAATAACCTAAGTAATACGTACTTCTCGCCCCTCGTTATATAAAAACTATACAGAATTATAAAGGCTGAATTTATTTGTTGTTTTGATATTGATTGTATTTGTATTCAAAAGCCGCAGAGGTGGGTGCGGGGCTTGTCGCGATCCGTAACAGTTACAAATATTTATATTTATAAACACTTTAATTATTTGAATAAAAAGAAAGATCGCATATGGTAATGTTGATGAATATGGTAAAAAAAAAGCAAAGAGGAGCTAGACATATTTAGCAGGAGCAGAAAAGTGAACCGAACACCAGACAGGTCGAATCTATCAACGAATGAAACCAGCAGCCAAACGAAATGATGGAACTATGAGACAATTAGCAAGCGATAATGAAAAGAAAAACAAGGACCTGGAAGATGTAAAAAATACAATGGGTAA